AACAGCATCCCAAGAACTAGAAGTTATTTTCTCTGCAGAAGATGCAATGTAAGGATCAAATTAATACAATTAATATCTGATCCTTTAATAAATGAACAGMTTCTCCTTTTACCCCCGAGGACCTGAAAATTAAAACCCATATATTGCACTCCATAGTGATAGATTAGGCCCAAGATGTTACTCTGATCCAAAAAAACAGGCATGCCAGTCAAACCCGAGTCTCATTAGAGACTCATTGTGACTGTCCTCCTGGTACACTATGCATAATTATAACTACCATCAGAGACACCGCGACCTCTCATTTGTGACTGCTCACAATTTAACAAGACTGTCAGGACTACAAAAATAAGATGGATCCCATTTGTATCTCCAAAGTCATAGACAATTGTCACCTTGCATGGGAACAAGGACTATAAGACTCCAGAGAGCACACGGTGAGTCTAAATATTTAGATATTGCCATGTTCTCCCACTGATGACTTCAGGTGTAAATGGAAAGAGGTTTCCTTAACAAGAAAACAAAACAGCACCAAACTGGCCTATGCATTTGAGACAGAAATAGTGAGTAAACTCCATTCTGAAGTGATTGATTTAAACATATTGCCACAGTGACCATCCCTCTCTTTTACATGCTACTCCTCTGCTAAACAAAACAAATGTGTACTGCCAAATCAGAACACATGACTTTACATCACTATTGGCTAACTCTCCACCAAGTATCAGTAACCTAGTAATTGACAATCTGAGGACCCAAATGTCAATCTTGCCTTAGCCAGTGGTAGTGATTCAGTGAAAAGAGTACACTTAGGAAACCTGGGTTCTGGACCCAGTTCAGCTCCAACCTCTTGGGTAACCTCAGGAAAGCCTCTCCCTGCCATCTCAGAGTATGTCTTCACATCTGGCAAAGGGAAGAACTAAACTGGACAACTTTCACGCTCTTTTTCTGGTTCAACTACTCAAAGACTTCACAATTAGCACAGGAACAATGGCCCAAGCATGAAAGTGTAAAGAAAATAAGTGCAGCTGTCAGCTCCATCATGGGGACTCCCATCATTTATGTTGTATCAACATTTTGTTATAAGTACTGTGCCAATCCCGTATTAGCAGTGATCTATAACTATTTCTTCTCCATGGAATGGATTAATAACCTCAGGGTAGCAGAAAGCATAGCAAGTTCTGGTAAACTAAATCTAGCCTTGGACTCCTTTTTAATAAAATTTCTCTTGCCTCTTCTGGTCTATCTTTAAAAGCTTAGACAGAATAAGGTGAGCAAAGCTGGAAACAGAGGCCTAATTTTTATCATATAGAAGTGTACAAGGTAATTTGTAGGAATAGTTTATGAAAAGGATCACCATTTTGAAATTAATTTCAAGGAGGAATCATAGAATAATGAAACAATGGAATTAAAAAGGACATGGCCCAACCAAGGAGAGTCCTTGAAAATCAGCTCAGAGTTCTAGATACTCTGTTACTACCTCCATCATACTTTAATAAGCTACTTTATTTTGGATATTCCACCAGTCAGTGAAATGGCGCCAATACCTGTTCTATGTACCTCAGAGAGCTATAGGAAAATTCTCTTCTGAAAATGAAAAGAATGAAATTAGACAGGATTGTATCAATATAAAGGGATTCAACTGAAAGCATCATCTTCACCTGGGAACTGATAAATTAACTTTTCAAAAATCGAACAATATTTTTTAAAAGGTATTTCAGAGATTTAAAAAAAAAATTCAATTCTAGCTAGGTGTGGTGACACAGTCTATACTCCCAGAGACTCAGAAGGCTAAGACAGGAGGATTGCAAACTCAAGGCCAACCTTGGAAGCTTAGCAAGGACCTCAGCAACTTAGTGAGACCCTGTCTTAAAATAAAAAATAAAAAGACTAAAGAATGTAGCTCAATGGTAAAGTGTCCTGGGTTTTTTACAAAAAAGAAAAGAATAAAGAAAATTGTCCATCCTAGGCCATAAGACAACTCCAAGTTTACAAACTTGCAAAGATTACAAATCACTCTAGATTAGTATCTATTATAATGATGTAGTTTTTAAAAATCTCCAAAATTCAATCAACCAAACTATTAAAAGAAACAGTAAAAAAGAGTGGGAAGAAAGAGAGTAATTGAGATTCTAATTCCTAGAGTGATTGAAGTATAGGAAAACTCACAAACTTTACTATCTACCAAGAACAAAAGAAGAAATATATACTGTTATACCACCAAAAGTTTAATAAGACTTTGGTTTTGTTTTGTCTTGTTGCTTTTATGTTGCTGTTCTTTAAAAGCAAAGAAAGAACCCAGATTTCAGGATAAATCATATTAAATGGTGGTGCAGAAGAATATTGCTCTTTAAAGAATATGCATGTTTTCCTCATCAGTACAGAATAGAGGAATTGATGGAACAAAATCATAAATACAAACCAAAATAATTTCACAGAAAATGATACTGACAACTGACACTATAAAATCTGTAAGAAGATAAAACAAAAATAGCCACAGATACAGACAGACAAGTAAGTGGACAAGCTCATAGTATTAGACACAGAAAGGCATTTGGAAATGTTGAAGCATTTGAAGACAGCTGAGGAAACACAAATCTTTACAAAAATTAATGAAAAGTAGGAGAACAATGGAAATAAAATAAAAGAACCTAAGGTGTAAAGAGCTACTAACTGGGAAAAAGCATACCCCACTTTTAAGTGTACCAAAGCCCTTTAGAAAAAGGTTATTAGCACAATATCTTATAAAAGAAAATTACAACATATAGGTATCACATAAATATAAGTTGATGTGGAAAATGTGGGTACTTTTATACTTTCACAGTTAGAATTTAAGAAGGAGAAAGCAGACCCCAGAGGTTACAGGCATAATATCAAGGCGAGAAATGTAATTGGTACTGTGAAGGGAGCAGTGCTTAATCAACTGCTGGACTGCAAAGCTCCAAGAAAGGACAGAGTAAGATAAATGGAAATGCAAGTCGTAGGTTGAAGCTGCTCACAGGAAGACACAGATCACAGCTCCATTTCAAAAATTTACCAGCCGCGAATGACAGAGACATCATCTCCCTTCGTTAAGCTTCCATTTCTTTATGGGAAAAACAGGCTTTGTAGGGTTAGGATGAAAAGGCAATAACATAATCATGGAAGAGCCTAGTGCCTGGTATATACTACATGTTATAAAGGTGACAGAATAAAAGTTGGTGCGATAACAAAAGTCAAAGAAATGTGACAGTCACTGCAAGACATGGTATTCAGAATAAAGTCTAAAGGAGCATGGTATGTGTCTCTCGTCTTCTTATCTCATATATGTGTATGTATTGGCCTACTTAATACAGAACCTGCAGTGCACAGCCTAACTCTCATGCATGACATCAACTATCATACCTGCTAAGACTTCTTCACATTGCCTCCAACTTACTCTTTAACTGACCATTCTGTATTCCTATTAGAAGGAAGTCCTTTTGAGTTATCTCCAAAGTTAGGAGACAAAGTAGCAATGTCAAGGAGTAATTAGAATAGGAAAATGTTGAGAAAACAAATGAGGAAGCCAACACATGGCTCCTCCTGTCCCCGTGAAAGCAATCCTCTTCCACATCCCATTTCCAAGCCCCACAATCACTCAAGAATGATGAGTCAAAGAAAACCAATTCCACTAAGACCCTGATTAGTTGCAAAAAAAAAAAAAAAAAAAAAATGCAGTCTCCTTCAAGGGCAATAAAACTTCAAGCACTGGTGTGGAGAACAGAAGAGTGCTGTGGGCTACATTTGCTGTTTTTCCAGAGCAAGTCTCTAAAGGTCTGGTCACCTTTTCTGGGGAAAGGACATCCAAAGATCCATAGCCACAGCTTCAGCCAAGCTGATGTATGAACCTCCCTACACTCTTCCTAGGCATTTGGCCACCTCACAGAAGCTAGACGTCTAGACATCTCAACCCGGCTTCTGACATCAGTCCTAAAACACTAACAGACTAGCAAAGTATTTACTGGGAGTCAGAGAGAAATAGGAAGAAAAGAGAAAGACTAAACATTAACGCAGAACATGGAAAAGTCTTGGGAAATATTTCTAAACCAAACATGCCAAAATGTTATCCAAGAAGTAATGGAAAAAATCATGGAAAGGCTAAGATAATCTTTTTAAAAGGTGAGATGGGGTAGAAAATAGGGACAGAGCAGCTGACTCTCCTTCCACCACCTCTTCTTTCTCAGTTTCTAGAAACACAGCATCCTTCTGTGTATTAGTTATAAATGGTTTCATAGGTTTAAATGAGCTGCTGATATTGACTGGCAAAAATATGGTACTACTTCAACCAAGAAGTACAGCAGCATTTACACTGCCTGTACAGTTTAACACAAGAGTGTGTGTACCCACACATGTGGTGCTCACTTCAGGCAGACCTTCACACCCCACTCAGTGTAAACTGAAGGTATGATTATTAAAAACCCGTGAATCTAAGGCTTCAGTCAGAATTGCCTGTGAGCTTTAGCAATTGAAAACCTCCCAGAGCTCTGAAGACAACCTCATCCTCCAGCAGCTTAAGGCAGCAGAAAGAGACGAAAAAGGGAAAATAATTCCAAGCACTCAAATTAGATTCACTTCATATGGGTTTCTCATCAGACTATTGCTTAGCAACAATTTGGAGCAAATGATCAATGGTGATGGGAACCATTAGATGGTGGACACATCCCCAAGAGACAGTGGGCTGAGATAGAGGATAAGGTAGCACAAGGACACTAAGCTTTGAATAAAGAAGCCATATTTGAATAAAGAAGCCATATCCATAGACATATAACCCTTGTGAGGGCTTTTTCTCTTTGTTTCTAAAAAAGGAATTGAGCCAGGAAATTACTGGAGGCTCATTAACCTTTGATAGTCCAAAAACTATGCTAAATACATTGTGAATTAATTTACAAGCCACCTTTTGGCCACTCAACAATATACTATAAATCACTTCCATTATACTGAATTTTCCCATGGTGGACACTGAAATCTGAAATGCCAGCACTTACCCTCACCTCCAGGTTGCTTGTATGGGTTGTACTTGGGTTTTGGAGCCACTACCGGTGCAAACTTCTTGGGTGGCTGTTGTGTAGACACTGAAATACTGGGGGTCCCAAAAGAATGGGTGGTCTCCATCCGTGCAGGCACATGGCCAAGGGGCTCACCAGTGCTTTTGGGTGGCAGCCAAGATGGATGAGACATTATTGGAATCTGTAATAAAAAAGAAATAAACACAGTTTTTAAAGAAGCATGAAAGTGAAGGTGGCATACCTCACTTCACGGTTATTTCATCTTAATCCATGCCTAAGGACTTCAAATAAAGCTCTCTGGAAAAAAAAAAAAAAAGAAAGAAAGAAATAAGAAAGGAGAAGGAATATGGAAAAAAGGAAAAACATGGGAGGAAGAGATATCATCAGAAAGAGGAGAAGGAGAGTAGAAGGGGGAGAAAGGTTGGGAGAAAAGGAGAACAAGAAAAAGACAGTCCCTCATGCTTGAATATCTCCTCTCCAGTAATTATTTATTTCAGTAACCCACACTCTTGGAAAAGTAGATATGAAAAAAAAAAAAAAGGTTCCTAACACGAAGAAGTTTCTTTGTAGGAAATTGGGGGGGGGGAGTTTCAAATTTTATAAATAATTTATTAAAACAATTATTATACCAATTAAATTGTGATACCTAAATGAGGCAATGTTACCTAAGTGTGGTTTTAAAATGTGTGGCTGGGAGGCAGAAAAAGATAAGATCCTTCTTGCCTGGAGCACAGCCAGCCAAGACCTCACCGAGGACAGCCACCCAGCTGGGCCCTGAATGCTGACCAGAGGCTGAGCCTGAACAATGGCAGGAAAGTCACACAGGCAGAAAAATACCAGCACTTGGTTTCATGTGACTGGAGGGGAAAGAAAAGAAAGTAACTAGCAGAACCAAAACATATGATAGAACCAAAGTGAGAAGAGATTAYGTTTATCCTTCAGGCATTAAGGAAACAATAAAAGCTGATTTTGGGAAGAGGGGCATGACAGATGTCTGACAGAACCSTATAAAATAAGTCCCCTCCAAGAGCAGTTCTGCTTCCTACCAAGAACTACTTGGAGATGGCGAGGCMGGGGACACTGGTTGCCATAATGCCTGGAACAATTACTGGCATTTAGCAGCAAACAAATAGAATATTCCCCATCTGTAATGCATAGGTGAGCCCTGAACAACAMAGAGATGTCCATTAAGAGCTACGCTCAGCAGACACTATGTTGGAAATTAAGGAAAAAACCTAACTTTATGTGGGGAACAACCAGCCCAGCCTGGATGTTGCTCTGACCATATTATATACACTATATGAAAAAGGGAAAGGGAAGTCTCCTCTGCCAGGATAAGCCAACCACTCCTCCATGCAGCCTGCCAAGGAGGGCTCTCCAAGGCTGATTACAAGAGCTCTCTAGCATGGGAGGCCCGGAAGGTAACATGTACCCACTCCCAGCCCTAACCCACCTAGTAATTTATTAATTGAACTGAATTAATTAAGAGGACTACATGATTACCTCCAGATGTCTGTAAAGAGAAAGAGCAAAGAAAATGCAGGAAGAAAAAAAGGCCTCAGCACATGACATAACAGTAGAGAAATAGGGTAGAGGAGGGGAGTTGGGACACAGTGAAGCCCTAGAATTGACATCAGTGCACACGGAGGATGACGGCATGACTCTGAACCCTCTCCAAGGCACCTCCATTACTGAAAAACTAAGATTTAAAAGATCTTCTCTGTCAACCAGTGAAACAATATTAAAGTATTGTATGCTGTTAACTGCTATTCAAAATGGGGGGAAAGGAATGCTTCTGTTCCCGTAGAAGGTCACTGAAAATTGTATGACCATCTTACCAGGAGGAAAACACCTGGAGGTAGAATTTTGCCAGGAGAGTAGGATAACATGATCCAATAAGGAATACTCTGATTGGGAATCATGACACATGTCATTGAAGCCAGTGACCACACTGGTCTTTCCCTCTGGTACAGAGCCTTTCTTTTTCTATACTTCGTTATGTGCATGTATATATGCATACTTAAAAAACTGCAAGTTCCTTGAAAGCCAGGAACCATATATTTTATACAATTACTAAAYCACCACTAAGGTGTAATACAAAACCAATATAAAGAAACGACCAATAAATGTCAGTTACACTCTAGAAATCTGCACATTTGGAATCATTTGAGCAAAGCAAAATTAAGTACTAAATCAAGCCCATGTGTCAAGGTTGAGAAACACTGTGTGTGTGTGTGTGTGTGTGTGTGTGTGTGTGTGTGTGTGTGTATGCACACGCCTGCGTATTCATGCATTAGGGATTGAGCCCAGGGCCTTGTACATGCTAGGCAAGTGCTCTACCACTGTATATCCCCCACCCCAAGGAATACCAGGGGTATTTTTTGTTTATTTTTAACCAAGTGTCAGTCTTCTACCAAATGGGGACAAAAGTAACTATTTTGCTTGCAACATYTCTAATGAGAATGTAAGTGAAGAGTAAATGGGATCAAAAAATGTTCAAGTTTTAATSCACCATATAATTCTGTAGTATATATTTTAATTATACGCTTTTAAAAATAGGTTAATATCATACTTATAACTTCTCTGTAAAAAAAAGATGCACATATCCAGAGCAATCCTATGTTACCTATTGAATGTGTCACACTGTCCTTTACAGATATACTACAGACAAAAAGAAACAGCAGCTTCCAAGAGAATATATTTTTAAAAAGAAGGTAAACCTTCAGAATCAGTATGCAAACCATTACCTCCATAGTTGCTTCAATTGGCCCAGCACCAAGAATTACACTGGCACTGCCTTCTTTGAGGAGGCACTTGAGGCTCCACCTCTGCCTCARATGTTTACAGATGCCCTTTACAGCATCTTCTCTTGCCATTCTCCTCCACATCAACAGTGAGCCAGAGACACAAGTCCCAAATGTTGTAATAAACTTTCATGACTCTGAACACTTGTTCCAGCCCTTAAGCAGAATATTAGCAATGTTGTCTCCCTCTCTTTGCTCCAGTTCAAATATCTCTGACTCTGTGATTATTTCCCTAACTTGCCTCAATAGGAATAGCTTAATCCCTTTTCTATGCTCTTCTAGTACTTTGGGGGTTTTGTTTGTTTGTTTTGTTTTTTTAACTTATAATAGTCCACAAGGAAGCAATTTATTTACCAGCCTATCTTCCCCAATTAGCTGGAAACTCTTGCATAGTTGCACTATACCAGCACAATGCTTGGCCAACAAGCCATTATAAGAATATCTTATGCAGAAGTGACTGAACGAATGAATACAGTTCTCCCTCAGTCACATATACCTGTCTAGAATTTCTAGCTCTCTGCCATAGGGGATAAAATCATCTCACTTCTGTATCTCTGGATTTGGTGGTGTAATGGACCATGTTGTTAGATTTCCAGCTATTGAACCATCTTTGCATTCCTAGAATAAATCCTTCAAAGTCACATTTTTGGTGTTTTGAAACACTAATGAATTAACTATGTGTTTAGAATTGTTGTACATATACTTATAAGAAGATCATTTTGTAGTATTTTTATCTMTGTTCATTTTACTTTTTATTAGGTTTTGATATGGGGGTTCAATAAACTATTCTAGACAATGGAATAGGATAATAATGGCCTTGGAATTACCTGATCTTTAAAGGTTCATCAAGATTCAGTGTACAGTCATTTAAATTTGAGAATATGACATCTTTTTAATAACAAATAATAATCATGTTTCTAATAACTTCTACAATGGCAGCAGTCTTTTACTTCTTCTAAGGTSATTTTTCAGTATTAGTTTTCAGGAAATTCATCCATTTCCTGAAACAAGCTACCTCTCAGTTAAAAATGATTTCTCCTTGACYACACATCACTTAGCTGCAAAGAATTACTTCCTCCATGTCCTTAAAGACATAAGCCACCCACTGTGTCCTTCATTTCATATGTGTGCCATGTTTCTACAGGTGGACAGTGCCTGGCACCCTTCTGTTACACATTCATCATATGGTACTCTGCCTGATTGTGTGCCTGCATCCCCAAGTGAATTCTAGAATCCTTGACAGCAAAGGTAATTATTGTTTGCAATCCTAGAGTCTARTACATGATAGGTACTCAATAAAAATAATCTACTAATTTGCTAAAGGAATGAGTTTATATGTTTATCAGTGGAGCTCCAGATGAAATCAGAATTTCACCCTTTACTTGAGTGACTTAACGTCTGTCTGAGGAAGATATATTTGTATGTGTGTAAGGAATGAGAAAGAGAGTATCATAGAAAACATATGGGAAATGCTGGTGTTTGTTACAGGAGCTAGAACAGGCATGGCAGAGGTAATCCTTAGCCAGAACTTCTAAAACAGAGGATCTGAAAGGTAACTGGAGCAACAAGAACAATGACAGGCAATAACTATACAGGAACAAAGCAAGGCATGTCTGAGGGTCAGGGACAGATCAGCTGTCCTGAAAAGAAGAAGGTAGGGAAAGAATAGTTAGGGAATGGTCTGAAAGAGAAAATTAGTTTCTTTTTAAAGGTCTCATGTAAATACATATGCAGCTAGAACTTTTAACTTTGAACAGGAATCTAATGAGAGTGAAAACCGCATGTAAAAAAAAAAATTAGTCCATGTGGGATGGACTCACAGAAGTTAWTAAATACAGTCATATAGATGCAGAGTTCCTCTGGCCCCAGTTCTAGTCTCAGCTATTCCAGAGTGATATTTAATAAGGGAAGACACTCATGAGCAAATTGGTCATCTATAAAGTTCCAAACAACTGATATTCTACAGTATTTTTCTTCTCTGAAGTCTTTATGCGGCCCTTCCATTTGATAAATGGATTTAGAGAAATCTGAAAAGTTTAACGAATGGATGAACAAGCACGTCAATTGGGGCTACTCGGCAACTCAGAGAGACCCAAGGTGAACACAACAAAAAACAGAGGTAAGAGCTGGTTTTGATAGACCAAAACTTACCCTGCTCTTACTTCCTCTGGTTCTAGATGGGTTTCACTCTAGGCTTATAATCATCACGAAAGCAAGAAGTGAAAGGGAAGATCCCCATAGAGGATCTAAATATATACAACCCCATCATAAGAGAGGAAAACAAGAGCAATGGCCCTCCTCCAATCAAGATGCCTACTGTGAAGGGAGGCTCAGAGCTGTGGCACCCTGAGCAYCAATTTTCCAGGTAATGTGCTAA